CCCGTAAAGGCTCCATCCGTTGTTTTTTGAGCATCGAAGGTAACTGTGAGAGAAAAAATGAATCATATCTTATGTAGGGCATATGCAATGTTGTTTTTGTTATCATTATTATTATTATGGCCGTCATCATTATTATTATCATCATTTAATAAAAAAAATAATAATGGCAATGGTGGCGATAATAAAAATGATGATAATGGTAGTGATAATGATAATGATAATGATGTTAGAGATACTAACAATAGGAATAATAATAGCAGCAACAATAATAATTATGATACAAATAATGATAACAATAATGATAATTATAATACTCATTATCATCATGAAAATAAAACATTAACAATAATTATTATCATTATGAATATTGCAGACGTATTAGTTTATTAATAGTCTGACTTCTTTTGTTTGTGTATGTATTTCAGAAAAAAACGCAATATATCACATCCATTTATTTGGTTCAGTGCATTGTCAGCGTTTGTTAAAGTCATGAGTGTTTTAATCTTATAGGTGTTTTGCTTGGTTTATATTAATTGTTATATCCGCACATCTACTTTCTCCTTACACACACACACACACACACACACACACACACACACACACACACACACACACAATCAATCAATCAATTATGTTTCTTGGCAATGAACTGTGTTTACCCGTGAACCTGTTTTTACTCCTACGAATGTCCAGTTCTGCTCCCCGCCGTAGGAATTACGTCGTTTTATTCAAAGAAAAAAAATGTGGCAGGTGAGATAAACAGATCTTCGAGATTCGAATATTGAGAGACAGATATAGATGTATAAAATTCATAAATAAGGACACTAAGAGGCAGATGAAGATGGAGAACATACGAGACAAAGGGAAGTATCATTGTTGTTGCAATGGGTGTGACAAAACCCACAAATATGATTGGATTTATTATTGTAGGGCAGCGGTTCTCCACCACGGGTTGATTCACTCCCATGTGATAAAAAATGGCATGCCTCAGAGTAGATTTAAGGTTTTTTGATTGGACAAAGTTGTAATATGCCCTAAGAGAATGAGAGAAAGTTTGATTGGAGCCGAGGACTCTCTAATTCCTCTTTTCAAAGGATGATTTTGTTCCATTTAAGTAATATTTATTTTTCTAACTCTGCGTGATGTACAAAACTTTAATAATGAACTTATTTCTACTCCATTTTTCCTTCGCCTGATATGCACTTAATCATGATTGAGACGAAGAGAGTAAATGGCAGCGTAAATGCTATCAAGGAACTAAAATCAGAATTTAGGTTGAGACCTACTGCTGTAAGGTGGCATCAGTGTAGGTCTATCA